CACTACTAGTCTAAATTATACGAAAATGCATTTTCTACGAAAACTTGAAGGGATAGGTAAAAAGTAGTATAATACAATTTGATAGACAATTAAATAGTGCATCTGATTCTCATAAAATATACAGGGTGTTCTATTTAAATTAAACTAGTTATTGCCGTTTAAATCTAATATTTATTTAAAATAAATTTTTATACACTTTGTATAAGGTAGTATAATTTTTATTATTGCAATAGAAAATTTAGTAAATAGAAATACTTCAGTACAATATTTGGGTTGAAAAACTTAAATACGCCTAAAGAAATGAAGCATTAAAATTATTACTGTATTTTGTAACTGTACTGTAAGATTAAAATGGAGTAAACCTTAATCAAATTTACTTTTACTTTAATCGTAGAAATTAAAAATGTAATACTATACAATATGTTCCATTTTAAAAAAATACATTTTTGTTATTTTTATTTATTTGGGACATTCTATATCGTGTAAAAATGTTTTTAAATTGTAGCTCTAATAGTCCTTCAACGAACCCAAAACTTACAATTTGTAAAAATTTAATCGTTTAGCTACAATACTCCGTGTCGTATGTGGTGAACAACCCTGTATATTGATTAAAAGAAAATTAGTAGAAGTGGGCAACACTGTGCCGGTCAAGCTTAATCACGTGACTAAAAGTTTATTTGGTATGATCTATAAAAATTGAGCACTTGTTGGATACGGCAACATCATAACTTGTTGCGACATGATACACATTTGTTGTTAAAATTCAAATCAAGTATCAGGAACTGAAAGTTATTTTTAAAAAATCAGAGTAAAACAGAATACTTTTGTAATAAACTGTCACAAATTGTATTGTATATATTGTTTATGTCAGCCGAACACACACACACACACACAAACTATACAGTAAATAAGAAAAAATATAAAAAAGTATCAATCCAAAAAAATCCTATATGGGTATTTCGCCACTGCACTGCAAGAAAATCTACAAAATAAAATAGTTATTTTTTGAAAACACTTCTGGCGTTAAACCCAAACGGAAACTGCTTGTCAGAAGTTGTGTTTACTGTTATATAAATTTGACTAACAAAGAAAAAAATGCTTAACATTTTGGAACGTCTAACTATCTTATTTTGTAGATTTTCTTGCAATGCAGTGGCAAAATACCCATATAGGCTTTTTGGAGAGATGAATCCGCCACATAGGTATAGACATTTTTTATAAAAAAGTGTGTTGGAAAATACTTCAAAACTCAAATCTAGTATCTAATATTCCATTCAAATATACTACACAAATCACTTCTTGTTAAGTTAATTATTTTGTAAAAACTAACATTAAAAACGTATTTTTCAAAATATAAAAAGAATGATATAAAATTGTTTCAGCTGTTAGAGCCCCTCGAGAAAGAAATTAAAGAAAAAAGTAGAAATTGAAGCCCCAACACCATATGCACTCGTACATCAACCTGTGCCGCGGAAATAAGCGCTTGCGTGGTGCAGTAACGTGCAGACTTTTCCTGCTTTATCCGACTTTCCCTTTCGGGAAAACGAGTTTTGAGGCTTAGAAAACTTTCTGATGAAATGCTTTATTACTACTATGTTGCTGAAATACTTACTGTGTGTTGCATCGTCCACCTGAATATAGGAAATCCCATATCAATTTTAAAAATCCCATATCAATATCAAAATTATCAATAAGTCGTCCCAATTTTATTTTACAGAAAAAAATATTTGAAACTTTTTAAAGAACTCGTTAAAATGAAGCAAATTTTTCTTTTTATTTATCATTTTTAAAATTTACATGGGATTTCCTCTGTTCAGGTTGGCGATGCAACAGACTGTATCAGGGTTGGCATGATTTAAATGAAATGATTTAAATAATGATTTAAATCGTGATTTAATTCAAGTGATTTTTTTAATTTTATTCATGTGATTTAAATAAAAAAATATATTGAAACTTTATAACTTTACTAGCGTGTACCAGCGACTTCGCTCGCGTCGAATTAATCATTTGTAATGGTGACGATAAAGCAAAGCAAGAATTTCCATTAACATACAAACTGGATAAAATTTTCTCATATTTATGTCAGCATGAGAAAAAACAATATGGCGATATAACTTGGTAATATTTGAGGGGTAGTTTCATCTCGTTGGAATTTGATTGAAAAATCCGTTTGCCAAAAATAAGCTTTTTACGTCAAGCAGTTTAAGCAGAATCTTGGTTAAGAAATTACCCAACTTTTTGGAACACCCTGTATGATTTTTTAAAAAATTTCAAAATATGTAAAAAACCAAATAAATTATGCTTGTCCAAGCGTTTTCCCGAAAGACTAACCGTTTTTTAAATAACAAATATTGTAATATGTGAGGGGCGTTTTCACCCTCTTGGAATTTGAGATTCGAGAAACCCCTCCTTATCGAACCTCTACACCCCACGGTCAATCCGTTTGCCAAAAATCAGTTTTAAACGTCTAGCAGTTTAAGCAGAATCGTGATTACTCATTGGTCATATTTTATGTAACACCCTGTATAAATTTATAAAAAATCTTAAAATATGTAAAACAACAAAATAAAATATACGTATTTAAGAGTTTTTCCGAAAAACTCACCGGTTTTTAAATAAAAAATATTTTAATATTTGAGGGATAGTTTCACCCCCTTAGAATTCGAGTTACAAAAAATCCCTTCTTATCGAACGTCTACACTTTAAAGTCAATCCGTTTTCCAAAAATCAGCTTTTTACGTCAAGCGCTTTAAGCAGGATCGTGATTAATCAATGATCAGATTTTTCGAAACACCCTGTATACATTTTTAAAAAATCTTAAAATATGTAAAAAAACAAAATAAGATATACGTGTTTAAGCGTTTTTTTCGGAAACTTGGCCGTTTTTTAAATATAAAATATTGTAATATTTGAGGGGTGGTTTCACCCTCTTGGAACTGGAATTTCGAAAAATCCAAACCAAACCTTTACAGCCTAGAATCAACCTGTATGCCAAAATTGAGCTTCTTACTTTGAGTGGTTTGAGCAGGATCGTGATTAATCAGTATGTTAGTCACTTAAGGATTTTATATATTAGTATAGATAACAGATATAACAGATAACAAATCGAAAAATAATTAATTGTAAATGCTATAAAACTATATAAAAATATCTATTCATCAATTTAAATGTTGGACCGATTTTTGAAGTAATTTCGTGTGAATCCATTAGACCGCTAAACGCAGGGATTTATTTTAAAGTTTATGTATAAGTGACAAAAATTCGCTGTTCGAATACATATCATTCGCAAAGTCTAGAGCCAGAACTAGGTTCTTCTGATATAAAGACTATCTTCATTCCCGAGAATCTATAATCGTTGTCAGAAAATGTGTTATTTTATTTTTTGAAACGGTTGCATGTTTCCAAATTCCTACCGACATTTTGATCTGCAGTAAGTACTTTACACTTTGACATTAGATAATACATACTAATTTCATTCTCGACTTAAGACTATTTTTTCCGAACAATAGTGTATTGTTTTATTAGGAGTAAAAATTATACTTTTTTGACGATGCTGTATACCACTAAAGCTATTCCGACGTTACAGGGAGGCACAAAAAGTACATTTTTACTATTTCTTTTAAAACATTACAAATAATTGTTTTAACAATTTGAAACATTGCAATAATATAAACAGTAATCGAGCAACAATTTATACACTCGTTGAATTTGACACTTAATATCAGTTTAATAATATATTTTTGTACTTTTGCGCTTAGGCGTAACAGTGCTTTACTTTTATGCCTAGGCGTTAAAAGGTTTGTTCTCACAGCTGTAAGAAACATATTTCCAACAGATAATCATGCGCAATAGGGTAAAACGCGTTCGCACAGAAATTTTTGATTGGTTTCCAACCAACAGTACGCTGTTCACACAGAGAATTCTGATTGTTAGCTGACAGTCAGACCTGTTCGCGGATCTTTTGCAAGTAAAGTGTCCAGCGCATGCGTATTGCGACCCGACGTCACTCCTTGGTAAACTTAACCTACAAAACGTATGTTGTTTTTGTTTAGTGTTTTTTTCTTCAAAAAATAAAGAGGAGAACTGAGCGCTTTTGAATCTTCCGATGAATCTGAGGCATCCGAATTTTTGGATACAGACAGTTTGAAATTGATCAGAAACTGCATTATTTGAGACCTGCGCATTAACACCGGTTTGGAAGAAGTCACAAACATGTTGGGAACACGCTGTGAGAACAAACCTAAAATGACAAAAGTTAAAAATTTTTAGATGTTTGAAAAAAAATCCTTTTGATCTGAAGCGAGCGACTTTTTTGCGGAATATATTGGTGACCGATGTGGAAAAAAGACACGCGCCCTAGTTAATGTTATCGATATCGGGCAGAGTTAGAAAGATTTAGCCATTTAGGATAGGACTTTAATTGGAACTAAGTCCTAGTCATTTGGAAATCCGATTTAAATAATATTGTTTTGAATTAAAATCAAAAAAATCTTATTTCAATTAAAAAAATCCGAGTTTTTTGATTTTTTTTAAAAAATAATGATTTTTTCCAAACCTGGACTGTATACAATAGAGATAATCTAAATATTTTTATATTATCTATGCCCATGTCAACTGATATTTAAAAATAAAAAACGCATATAACAAGAATAGAACTATACAAATTAAAATTAACCTACATGCAAAATTTTCAAGAACTTTTTAAATTAATTATTGATTTAAACGAATTCAGCCTGTTATTATTTTTATAATTCATATATTTATTTACTTCATAATTATTATAGATCAGAATGTGATACATGTACAAGTGAGTCAAAATTATTGGGAATTTTTTGTGTGCTATTATTACTGTTATTCAAACCAATAAAGTTATATTTAAATCAAATGTATTTCAAAAACCATAAATTAAAATTATATTTATCACATGAACTAAAGGAAATTCACTCTATAATCCTAAAAATATATTAAAAACATATTTTTAAAAAGTTGTCATCCAGTAACGCAATCGAAATGGTAGCAAGAACATCGTTTCCATTTTTAAGCTACCTTTTGGTAGTTTACGCCTCCTATGGAAATATGAAACCATCCAGTGCACCATACAAGATGATCATAAGCAATATCGAGACATGCGACGTAACGGCGAGCAACCCTTCCCAACCTGTCATAACCTCGAAAAATGTCGATTCCGAAGGGCACAAGTCGTTTTCGTTAAAGGGAGACCTCAATGAGGAGTTTAACGAAAATACTCAAGTAAGTATTTAATATTACGGAGTTCTAAGTTGATTATGAAAACATATAATTAGATTATTCGCACATTAGTCGAAACAGTTTAGCACTTCTTGTGTACAGGGTGTCCCATTTTAGTTGAAATCAAACGGTATCTGCGTTATTAGTAAAGATAGGAGGATGCGGTTTGAACAAGCCCGTCCCACTTTTTTGTCCAACGTTAGATGCTGTAAACAAAATCTTCATACCTCTCTTTGTTTCTGAGCTACAGGGTCTTTTCGAAAATTTTGCAATTTGGGACAGCACCCGTATCTCCGTTATTGTGAATGATATAGAAAAGATTAAAATTGATTCTTATAGAACTTTTTACGTAGAATACAATGGCGTACTCTGTTTTTGTACGAAAAAAATATTTTAAAAATATGAACTAAAGTTACGTTTTTTTTCAAATGGAACACCCTGTATATCAAGAATAAAATAAAAATCTTCATAAATGATGCGATCCGTCTTTCTATGAGCTTCTCAAAATTACATATCACTCTGTATTTATTTTCACTATTTACTGCAATATTTAAAATATACTAAGTGACATTGAAAATAGAACACCCACTAAAAATTGTTTAATTTTAATAATCTTTTGTACATGAATGTAGGTTGACAAACGGCGTAAATGATCAAAATTTGGAGTAAAAATATTGGCTCGTTACCTTGTCCTTGTTAATAATGTGTTGGACCACCTCGATGTTCTATACATTCGTTCAGCCGTCTGGGCATCGAACTAATTAGATGATTTATGTCTTCTTGCGGTATTTCATCCCATGCTAACTGTATCTCATGCCGAAGAGCTTCTAGTGTCTGAGGAGGATGCGGTAAGTTTGTCAGTCTCCTACCCATGATATCCCATACATGTTCAATTAGTGAGAGATCTGGAGATCTTGGTGGGCAGGGTAGGAGATTAACTTGGGCATTATGTAAGTGGTTCACAGTTAATCTAGCAACATGGAGACGGGCATTGTCTTGTTGAAATATAGGATCGTGGAGTGTTCGTAAGTATGGTAAGAGATAAGCTTCCACAATTTCCTCAATATAGCGCTGGGCTGTCATATTACCTCGAACAAATACTAGAGGTGACCTGCTACCATATGCGATTGCTCCCCAAACCATAACTCCTACAACTTGGTTTACGTGCCTCTCCATGAAAAACTGTGGATTCCGCCGTTCTCCACGGTATCTTCTCACTCGCGCCCGACCGTCGTGCATTCCCAAACAGAATCGCGACACATCACTAAAAACGATAGCATTCCATTCTGCGCCCCATTCTTGTCGGGCTCTGCACCACTCTAGACGTTATCGTCGATGTTCAGGGGTCAATGGTAAAACCCAATGAGGCCGAAAAGAAAACAGTCCAAAAGACCGTATTCGTCGGTAAACAGTTCGCATCGTGATGAGTCTTCCGTGTTCCGGAAACCATTGGTTAGCAATTGCTCGGGAAGTGGCCGAACGGTCTCTGACAGCTACTTGCCTTAAACGGCGATCTTGACCCTCAGTGGTTAATCTTAGACGCCCTGTACCTCTGGCACGATGTTCACGGTGTTGTTGAAAGTAAGCTCTACAACAATTGGCAACAGTGCAAGCACTTCTATGGACCCTATCAGAAAACTCTCGAAATGATAATCCTGCCTCCCGCAAACCCACAATCCGACCCCTATCAAAATCACTGAGTTGTCTAAAATTGGCACGTCTACGTATTCTAGGCATTATAATAAACTCATAAAAACACCTGAAACTACTCTGTAGCAGAATAAGTAACATACTGTGAGAAAGCCGGGTCTCTATTGGATGTGATAGCACAAAAACTAGTGTGTTGACGGCGTTCAAATTATATTCATTTCTTATCGATACAATAATAAACATGCTTACAAACATTTATTAAAATTAAATAATATTTAGTGGGTGTTCTATTTTCAATGTCACTTAGTATATATCATTTTTTTATTAGTAGGCCGTGATAAATAACAAAAAAATCAAAATGTTATTTACTAAAATAGTCATACACATATTAAAATTTTATTTGGGATTGATATATTTTACTTTTGAACTTTTACAACCACTGAATTGCCGAATATATTTTGTTTTTTTTTATAACGGAATTTAGTATAATGGGATGGGTTTGCAAATATCTAAAGGCTTGCATTATTATCTTGCATTATTAGCTTGCATTATTAGAGCATTTTCCAGGTGTTCGACATGGTTGTAGTTGCCACGATATAATTCATATTTCAAAAATCCCCAAAATCAAAATCGGAAATCGAGAATGGACAAATCCGTGAATCATGAAAGTCATCATATGGGTCCATTATCCATTGGTTCCAGTTCATTAATTTGCGAAATAATAATTTAACAAAATTCCTCAAACCTCAAATAAAAAATGCAGGTCCGTATTTAAAAAAATGAAATTGGCCCATGTATCTCACAAATTATAAGCTAATTTAAAAATCTAAAAAACTGTCAGATAGCCCTGATAAAGTGGCTATGAGAATGTGCAATTAGTATTTTAAGTTTCTAAAAAGTAACGACAGCAAAAAATAAAATTTATTTTCAAAAGAATCCGTTTGTCTCAAAAAACTGAGCAATCCTTGAAATTTTTGATTTTTTTTATAGCATGTTGGCGAACATCCCAAGGAGCAACTTTGCCCCAATTTAACCATCTTCGTATCTATTACGGTTATGGAGACACCAATGCTCGTACCTCAAATTTGTAGCACCCTGTATATATTTCAGATCTAGATAATATTCCTGTAATTTCCATGGATTTTTATGGATACCAACATTAATTTTTGAACTTTTGTTTAAATTGAAGATTTTTTTCAAATTTTAGTACATATTTCAAGTAGATAAATTCACCAATGGAGAGTGGAACGAGAACGTCTACAGCGAAGATGGGAAAATAGGTGATGTGATTAGAACCTACGTAGACAGAAGCTGGAAACGCCTAAAGAAACATTTCGCCAATATGGTAGAAAACTATTGCGATGTTAAAAAGGTAAAATAGGATTTTTTCTAGAATTCTTCTCAAATGAGCTTTATCACTAAAACGAAGTCAAGTAAAGTCTAAGTGTCGTACCAAAATTAACTTTTGTGACAAGTTTATTTTGTTGGTGGATCTACTGGTCCAGTTAGGTCAGTGGCGGATACAGAGGGGGGGCCATGGGGCCCAGGCCATCCCTAAAATCCATAATTTGGGTTAAATATTAGGCTTTTGGGTTAAAAATAGCGCCCTAAAAAGCATATTCTACATTATTTTTTATTTGGGCCCCCCCTAAAATAAATTCCTGTATCCGCCCCTGAGTTAGGTATATATCTGAATGAATTAAATCACCAATATATCGTGATGTCTTAATTTTTCTTTAAAATGGTTGTCTGTTTGTTAATGAATAAAAGAAATGGTCGTAAAAGGAACGCCAAGAAGGAATTAAAAAGAATTAAAAATAAATAAATAATAAAGCATATTTATTTCAGGATATTTTGTATATTATAATGATAAGAGTATTTAATTTTAATAGATTTTTCTTAGTTTTTACTTAAAAGAATTCCATTCTATTCCAGGGCCATTACGAAATAGTTGACTACCAAGTACCAAAAGAGGAGGTAAACTTTCCGCCAATGTACGGGAGCTTGAAAGCAACACTGTCTTTACTGAACGATAAGGATGAAGTGTTTTTATGTGTACGCGGTTACCTTGAAGTTACTGAACACTAGTATCTGGTTAATAATAAATGTTACTTATATTTTACCCACTAATTTGAATAAATATGAAGAAGAAAATGTATTTCTTATTCCTCCTTTTTGTTATATTTATGTATTACTTATGTTAAGAGGATAGATTACTTTTTTTTATGGGATAGTTGTATATTTCACTGCGACTTTTTAAGTTGTATTACAGTGTTGCCAACTTTCTGAAATGGAATTTCCCATGAAGAGGTTCAAAATGTCTTGCTTTTTTTTTCAAAAATTCCCACGAGTTATGAATCCGCCACTATGCCTATGTGGCGGATTCATCTCTCCAAAATAAAATAAATTTCTTTTTGGAGACACAATACAGATAATATGTTTTTTAAGTAAAAATTTAAAAATTTTCCAAAAAATTTCGAAATATATGTACTTTTCGATTTTTGTCGCACAAAAAAAACTCATAGACGTGTTCCTGGAATCAAAATACACCATGTATTCGAGGGGAGGGGGTACAAGGATAATGTCTGATGCCAACCGAAATTTATAAACCTTTATTAATTGTTTCTGCTGTATTTAAAAACAATAATGATATTTTTTTAACCATATTTAGTTCTAATTTTCTAGAATACGGAATTCCATCTCCAAACAGGCTACTTCCAATCCTTTTTTGTTGTGCAAATGAAACTGAGCCATAAACTGACCAGCAGTAGGAATGGGAACATCGAAGTCTCCTTTTTTCACTTGAAATTTTTCCAGTTTGTACTTGCCCTTAAAAAGGTTTCATCTGTCAATATGTTTGTCGTTAAAAAATAATCGATCGCAGAATTATGACTAAAATAACTTAAGAAAGTTAAAACAAAACCTATTTGTGTTGTTCACTCTCAATATTTAAAATAGTTTGTTTTCTAATACTATGATAAGAATATACATGAGAAACCTCACCATAATCATCTCAGTAGGATAAAACTGATTAAGTATGATGATGAAGAAGTTGAAAATGATGATGATGATGATGTGGAATAGAGCATCTTATTTTGTATCCTCTCTATTACAATATAATTACCGGCGGGATGGTACAAAGATCTTTAATTTTTGGGTTCACAGCGTTCCTAAATGCGTCCCATGCTATTTTACCCAAATCGTTTATATCTTTGCATACGTTTCCATCAGGTTCAATGTAGTGAATGTATTGTCCAGATGTCATAATATTAATATCAGCTCTATACTAAAAAAGTCAGAAGAAAGTAATTCCTGAACCTATCAGTATAAAAATCGGACTTTCCAAAGAACTATCTCTTAATAAAAATAGTTGTTGATTAGAAAGATGAAAATATATTTCTTCGCGAATATTACAGTTAGGAGGTTGGAACCTTTGGTGTTAAAAACACACTAATTAAAAAATAAAAACTAATTCACCAAAAATACTTTACTTTTAACACTAAACGCGCGTGCAGATGGTTAAAACTAGTAGTTAGTTTTAATCATCTGCTGATGATGAGTACTTGTGGTGAATTAGTGTTTTATTTTGCCTGAGTGTCCTACAGAAGTTAAGAAGAAAATTTAGGATAATTTAATATTGAAACTTCTGTTACTTATACAGGGTGTCCCAGAAGTAAGTGCAAGTATTTTAACTGTAAGTATAATTCAACCCCAGAAACACGAATATGAGGGTTTTTTCGCGGAAAAAATTTTTTGAACATTCGGAATTTTTTGAAAAATTTTTTGGAATTTTTTTTAGTTTTTATTTAAAAAAAATAATTTCTTGATAATATGGCAACATAAGTATTAGATTAAATTTACAAGAAAGAAAATCCAGGAAAGATCGAGTGGTTCTCAAAATTTTAGCAAAAAAATTATTTCTTTTGGAAATTTTCGAAATAAAATAACTCCGTTATTTTGGACTTATATTTGAAAAACAATAAAGAGAAAATATGTTTCTTTTATCAAGATCTACCACCCGTTAAAATACTTACACTTATTTCTGGGACACCCTGTATATCATTGTTTTCAAGAAATAAGAAAATGAAATCAAAATTTGATTTTTAATATTCTGAGAAATGTTTAATTCTGATAAAATTCTCTGTATCCAACCAAACTATGAATAAACTGTTCAAAATTCAAAAAGTATGATATTTTAGAAGTCATCTCAAAAATTATGAATTATTCCAAAATATGCAAAAACTACTTTAAAAATTCTTGATTGAGTATTTGTATTATTATTTATACTGTATTGGGTATATTTTAAACATATATTTTTACACATTCTCACAGTAAAGTCTTTTGTAATGGGTTCATCTAAATTAAACTCTAGTGTTAAAGACTTCGCACCATCCTTTTCATTATTTATAGTCAATTCATAATTAATTTCCTGAGTTCCAAAATTTAGGGCGCATTTTTTCGCTCCTATAGTTTCAAGAGTATATTCCTAAAACAAAAATATATTTTCAAAAAAATCTTTAAAATATAAGAACAATTTACTTACCTCTCCAAGCACTGAAGAAAAAAATAAAATAATAAAAACAAATTCGAATATTAAATGCATCGTAGAATATTGTAATGTAAAGAAAGGAAGTTAACAACTATTTTTATACCTGACATTTTTAATTCTCCATGTCCTTTACATGACTTTTTTCTAATTTAATAATATGAATTAATATTTGAGCTTAAACCCATAATTCTGGATCGGAAAAAATATTATTTAAAAAAATATTATATTGATTAGCTTTTCGTTGTTGAAGAATTTGGTTCTTTTTTATAATGGACATTAGAAATATACTATCGAACATAATTATATTAATACATGTCCAAGTTTCATACGTAAGTAAAGTACATTCATAATGAAATCTGGCATTTCATAGAATATTTAGTTACTAGTACAACATGAAGATGTATCCAAAATCTGGCAATTTTTTCATAAAATGCCAATACTTTTAAACCACATGATATAGCAACATGTGTTTTAATAGATTAAAATCACAATTTACTTATTTTTAGTTCATATAATTTTATTTCAATATTTTTTAATAAATGTTTGCAATTCTTAATTAAATTATCTAAAGGATAATTTAAAATAAAAAAATGCAATTCTTAACAAATAACGTTGATCTGTAGAGCTTTTCAATGAGAGTTGTGAACGTGTCAAAATGTAAAGAGAGCAAAAACGAACTTGCTGATTTGGAAACTCATATAACCAATGGTCATCCATTTGATCAAAAGCTTTCAGGAATTCTAACACTTCCAGTTGATTTGGACGATGACGCCATTCTAGTAAGAATACAAAATTATTACATGATGAAATATAATAATTCAGTTAGAGAACATTCAAAGGTACAGAGAGAAAAAATAAAAGCAAACTCTTACTGCCACATTTTAGTAATACTCGTAATCATAAATTTATGATAAAATTACACTTTAGGGTTTAGATTAGACTTTCTGTGATTTAACTTATACCAAAGCTTATACCATAATAGTTATTTATATTAAAATATGTTCTCTAAGTCGATATTAATTAGAAGAATCAAATATTTTAGGAATACAAATCCTCAATTTGGGATAACGATTGATTAAAGAATATTGGTAATAAATTTTTACTAAAAATTGAATATCTTAAAAATCCTCCCTCCTGCTTGGCAGGAGGTTACTACCAACCTCTTAATATATGTAGTTACATCCAGGGATGATATACCATCAAGGCCCTACAATACTGTTCCAAACATACTGAATAATTCAAATTTGGTGCTGTTACCAGCTAGATAGATACGTATTATAATATGCTTCATTTTCAACACTGAGTTTGAATTCCGTGTAATCCCATTCCGTAAGATCTCTGCTTACACTGGTTTGTTAATACTGTAGTTACCTACGCGCGACATTCCTTTCATTTAATATTTTAATTTTTAACGTTGTTTATTGAAAAATAAACATAGCAAAAAGGATCTGTTCTGTCTTTCTATTTTCCTATTTTCCTATTTTCCCATTTCCCTATTTTCCTATTTTCCTATTTTCCTATTTTCCTATTTTCCTATATTCCTATTCCTATATTCCTGTTTCCCTATTTCCCTGTTTTCCTATCGGACTCGAATCGAACTCGAATCCGAGACGAATCGGAATCGGCTCGAACTCGAATCGGACTCAAATCGAACTCAACTCGGTCTCGACTCGAACTCGAATCGGACTCGAATCGAACTCGACTCGAACTCGAATCGGAATCGGAATCGACTCGGGCTCGAATCGAACTCGAATCGGAATCGATTCGAACTCGAGTCGGAATCGATTCGAACTCGACTCGAACTCGAATCGGACTCGACTCGAACTGGAATGGGACTCGACTCGAACTCGACTCGAACTCGGCTCGAGCTCGATTGGAACTCGGCTCGAACTCGAATCGGACTCGAATCGGAATCGATTCGGACTCGATTCGAACTCGGCTCGAACTCGGCTCGAACTCGAATCGGCCTCGACTCGAACTCGACTCGAACTCGAATCGGAATCGACTCGAACTCGGCTCGAACTCGGCTCGAACTCGGCTCGAACTCGGCTCGAACTCGGCTCGAACTCGGCTCGAACTCGGCTCGAACTCGAATCGGAATCGATTCGAACTCGAATCGGACTCGACTCGAACTCGACTCGAACTCGATTCGAACTCGGCTCGAACTCGAATCGGACTCGAATCGGACTCAAATCGAAATCGACTCGAACTCGGCTCGAACTCGATTCGAACTCGGCTCGAACTCGATTCGAACTCGGCTCGAACTCGAATCGGACTCGACTCGAACTCGAATCGGAATCGATTCGTACTCGACTCGAACTCGACTCGAACTCGATTCGAACTCGGCTCGAACTCGGCTCGAACTCGATTCGAACTCGGCTCGAACTCGAATCGGAATCGATTCGAACTCGAATCGGAATCGATTCGAACTCGACTCGAACTCGAATCGGACTCGACTTGAACTCGACTCGAACTCGAATTGGAATCGATTCGAGTTCGACTCGAACTGGAATGGGACTCGACTCGAACTCGACTCGGACTCGACTCGAACTCAAATCGGAATCGACTCGAACTCGACTCGAGCTCGAATCGGTATCGATTCGAACTCGACTCGACCTCGATTCGAAATCGACTCGAACTCGACTCGAAATCGAATCGGAATCAACTCAAACTCGACTCGAACTCGAATCGGACTGCAATCGGACTCGGCTCGAACTCGAATCTGACTCGAATCGAACTCGAATCGGAATCGAATCGGAATCCATTCGAACTCGAATCGGGCACGAATCGGACTCGACTCGAACTCGGATCGGACTCGAATCGGAATCTATTCGGACTCGACTCGAGCTCGAATCGGAATCGATTCGAACTCGACTCGAACTCGAATCAGAAACGACTCGAACTCGATTCGAACTCGGCTCGAACTCGAATCGGACTCGAATCGGAATAGAATCGGAATCGATTCGAACTCGAATCGGACTCGAATCAAACTCGGATCGGACTCGAATCGGAATCGATTCGAACTCGAATCGGACACGAATCGGAATCGACTCGGACTCGTATCGGACTCGAATCGGAATCGAACTCGAATCGGACTCGAATCGGAATCGACTCGAACTCGACTCGGACTCGAATCGAACTTGAATCGGACTCGAATTTGTAAGGTAGCGATGATTAATCCCTTACCACTCATTCTACATGCTACATTCCTGCTTAAGGCCTTTAACGTACATTAGTTGCTTATTATTTACTTAGGTTAAATTTCAAATCCCCATGATACATAATCCGCCCCAATTAATACCCGTCTGCCACGGCAATCAGCGACTGACCGCACCAATGCAATTACCCAAAACGTCACTCCATAGGATCGGTAATGTCACCAGCACACTTACCGGCCGACCGCAAGCCCAATTGGTGCCCGATCCTAGCCGAACCGCAGCAGCAGCAGCGACAGTGACGCTATCTGGCTGTAACGAAGTTAGCCGTCGGCTCTTGGCGCGCAATTTTCCTCAAAGCGAGAAGAAAATTGAGCAATTAGAGGGTGCGGAATTGGATTTGGAGTGTGGTGCTTTGCGATCGCAGAGCGAGGGGTAATTTGAGAGGTCTATGTCAAATGGAGGATTAGAGTGGAGAATATTGGTATCGTTCACTTTAACTGTCTCTATTCATTGCTGGGAACTTTAATATTATTACGTAAAAAATTCTACGCAAAAAACGAACCCTCGTTTTACACAAGCATAGTTATACGCTGTTTCTCTTAAACTCGTTATTCACTTAGGGTGGCTGCAACGACGTCCCGTCATCCTGCTGTTAAAACATGACAGTTGGTTTTCACATATAAAACCCCATTGTTTTGTTTTAACCGCAGGATTACGGGACGTCGTTGCAGCCACCCTTATACGTAGTTTTAATAATTCCACCATTGATAGGAAAAGTTTATACCTCGGTTTATAGAGGGTGGTCCGAACTGTATTCCGGAAACTTCGGCAGCATATTCTGCAGATTAAAATAAGTAAAAAAGTTCGTATAAATGTATGTCCTAAAATGGTTAGTTTCGGAGATACAGGGTGTAGAAGTTTTATTTTTATTTCGATTTTTTCCAATTAATTTATGAAGTAACGTCAATATTTGGATGAAAATTGGTGTCTGGGAGTTTCTTGGGAGCAAACAGTTAGAAATGTTAATAATGTATTAAAAATTCACAAAGGCTCACAAAATAATTTAACCTATGTTTAATTATCATTAATAATAATCAACCACAAGCAAGTCTCCTAACAGTGGCAATCTGACCCATTTAACGTTCTTATTACCGTATCTCTCCCCGTTTTGCGATTCGTAGACTCTGACAAAACGGGAGAAGGAGGCTCTAGTTTTTTATTGTGTTGGGGGAAGCAGCGCTTGTTATCGCACCTTCGACATGGTAAAGCAACGCGTTCTCATTGTTTCGAGGCGCGATGAATTCTATAACTCGTCTGGGCTTTGAACAGGGTTGGCAACGTATCAAATTGTGTCTCGTAGAAAATTAGATTAGATTTATCGAGATGACTATCGGCCTGATCCACAGCGACCTTTCCAGATCCTTAGGTTACATTCTCCAGTCCTATTCTTTTCAAAAATCTAGGAACTTGGAGATAGAACCCTCCATATACCTCTGTCAATGACCTATCATTCCCTAGTACAGATAACTTTGCCAGGCTTTCGCACCGATATAAAATGTGTTCGGCCGTTCTTCAGATTGACCGAACCTGCATATACGGATGGAAGAAAAAAACCTTCTACAGGCAATACTAAGAGACCTAATAGAAGAAGGTGAGGATCCAGACAAATACTTCTTTTTATTTTACAGAATTTAGAAGACAAATTGAATGATAGCAACTTGAATAGTAAAATAGTCAAGTTAGAAGACAGTTTGCAAGGTCATGGAAAAAAGAGAATTTGCAAACTTGAATAAAAAATAGTTAATTTACTAAAATACTTAGTTTTAACTAAGTTTAAACAATAAAATCACAAAAAATTCCAGGATTTGCAAGATAGCTTAAATAATAAAATCAATATTTTAGAAAATTAAATCATAGAAAATTACCTTTCTTGAGTTATAACTTATCACAAAGTCTCAGGGCTTTGCCAAAAGTCAGTTTTTGTGACGGTTTTACAGAGGTTAGTTCTCCATCTCCGTTATCAGTCGTACAATTTTTTTAAGATGGAAACCCCCATTTACAGCTAAAGTGTGGGGGTCACCTCTCACCCGATTCGTAGCCACTACAAACCCATCTGTAAAGTTACCTCTCCAATCTCGGAACCGCCTTTCGGCATTATGTCTGTGTCGGCCAAATTTTTATCTTTTCATCTCCCTGTTTTTTAAGCATGATGGCTTAAGCTCTCATCATCATGGCGATTGCTTCATAGTTTATTCTTGTTTCCATCTCGAATCCATCTTTCTTCTCTCCGAATGCCACCTACACTCAAATAATGTGTGATTAGCCATGATGCAAGTCAAGTAACGCAACTTCGTGTAAAGAGTATCGTCTTATTAGTCTAATGAACCACTTTCTTAAGCTCTTTTTACGGGTGCTGCATACAAGACTCTACAAAAAATGTGAGGAAGTAAATGGAGAAAGTCAATTTGGATTTAAGAACGGCTTTGGCACTAGAGAAGCCATATTCAGTCTTCAAACTTTAGTACAGAATTGCCAAGATTAGAGAAAAGATGTCTTCATGTGCTTTATAGACTATGAAAAGGCGTTCGATAACGTTAAACATAACCTCCTTATATCATACCTCAGAGACTTGGGACTTGATGGAAAAGATATAACGCATAAGTAATTTGCATTGGAACAAAAAAATTGAAATTCGTATACATAGCGTGGGAGTAACAGAAGATTTTGAAATAAAAAAGGGGGTAAGGCAAGGGTGTATTCTGTCTCCAATGTTGTTCAATTTATATGTGGAAAGAGCATTCACTGAGTCAATCTCCGATAGTCCCATTGGTTTGAAAATAAATGGCATTCCAATTAATAATATCCGATATGCGGATGACACAGTGATATTGGCAGACAATGCAAATGATCTCCTAATTCTTCTAAATAAGGTTAACAATGAAAGCCAAGGACTGGGTTTAAACATAAATACTACAAAAACTAAATTTATGGCTGTTAGCAGAAACAATATTCCGAACACCAGAATTTACTTAAATGGAGAGGTCATCAAGCAGGCCACACAATTTAAATATTTGGGATGCATGGTTAACGACACGTGGGATCCAGATCAGGAGATCAAATGCAGGATCGAACAAGCAAGATCTACTTTTCTGAGACTGCAAAGATTTCTCACAGATAGGAACTTGAACTTCGGCCTTAGATACAGAATGGTGAAGTGCTATGTCTGGTCCGTTTTGTTATATGGTGTGGAAGCATGGACACTGAAGGTAGCAACAATAAACCGAATTGAAGCCTTCGAAATGTGGACCCTACGACAAATGAGACTACGACTAAGAGTGCTCTGGGTCGACCGTGTGAGGAATGAAGACATTCTCAGAAGAGCTGGTCTGGAACAACGTGAACTATTCGAAATCATCAATAAGAGGAAAATAGCGTATTTGGGACACATACTACGTGGAGAATGCTATCACTTTCAGCGTCTGATTCTCCAGGGTAAAATAGAGGGGGGCAAAAGGGGAATAGGCAGAAGGAAGCTATCCTGGCTGAGAAATATTCGTCATTGGACAGGCATACAGGACTTCCAAGCACTCCAAGTCGCTGCAGTTAATAGAACCATCTGATGAGGAAGAAAAAGATGAACGCCTACGCAGGAATCTGCACGGCACCTTAAGAAGAAGAAGCCGTGATGCTTCACAATATCAGCATATTATGGATTCCGCCTTCGTTATTCTAAATAGGTATTCCCCAAAAGCTCCGTGCCCTGTCATCGCCTGGGTGATATAGTAATCCGTTTTCGTCCACTTGTTGTTTATCCAGACCCTCACGTCCGGGATGAATATTTTAATTCGGCCCTGGTATGCCCCCTATCTGTTTTGACATTTGTCCAGTATTATCTTCCTGGACTCTGATCGATACTCTGAGCCGTGCCTGTATGTTACAGCATTTTCAGATGGAGCGGACCGTCCGCGCGGATGTTTTTTTCAAGATAGCTCATCCGGACGGAGCATACGCGAGCCATATGAAATTGTTCATATAAACTCATGGTACACGACGGACGGGACGGTCCATCTGAAAGCGCTGTTAGATTTCTTTCCATGATTTGTTGGATGATTGGGGAATTTTTACTAGAGTGAGAACAGTATGTAATAAAACATTGAAAGTAAATACAGCGACATGTTAACAACTCATCCCTGTCTTGAACAATAGACAAAAGGGCCGCCATTATTAACTTGGCGTATATGCGCGAATCTATGGCGCCAGCAGAAAGGCTTTGTTCGTCGGCGTGAAATTCGCAGATATGAAATCGTACGGATAGTTCAAAAGTTACTTTTCGATTCGACATTTCGTTGTGGCTACGGCCGGGAAATGTTGTACACAGAAATAATGCCGTCGGCGACGAATCGAGTTGGCGTTGGAGGAATTTAATAGCGACATGGATGAAACAATAGACTTTTAGAAACGAAACAATATATAACACTTCGGCGAGGATGTTAGTTACGTAACTATATTTGTAATTATATAAGCGCGACGAGTAATGATGGGAATGAAATAATGTCTATACCTTTGTAAAGGATTCATGTGTTGAAAATAGTTCTGGATATTATGTCACTGACACAGAAATCTAAAAAAATAATACAGTTATTGTTTTGTAAAATGCCACATTTTTTAATTTTCAAAGTAAGATAACTTTTCTATTTTGAAATTATTTGACAAACGGCAATGAGAAAAATCTATTTCTTTTGAGGGGTAAACCGCTGCGCTGCGCTGGTGGTATTTATTGTACAAGCACTTGGTAATACTGGTATTTTTTTGATACTAATTTGGTATTTTTGGTACTAATTTGGTATTATTTGGTAATAAACTGGTATTATTTGGTAATAAACTGGTTTTATTTGGTATTAAACTGGTAATAAACAGGTATTTTGTTGGACATCTGGCAACGTTGGATTAGACGCACGTGGCGACGACGGCCGGGAAGCTGATTGCATCATTTCTAGCCCATTTGCATCTAAAGCTAATATTGAAAAATATCTAT